TTACCACCAACTGCGCCCCCTTCACTGCCCCCCTCTGCCAGCCTGGTCAGCGCTCACTGCCCCCCCCTGCCAGCCTGGTAGCCCCACACAGCCTGCTGTTCGGTTGTTTGGTTGCCCCTCACTAACCCCCCTGCTGGCCTGGTCGCCCCACGCAGCCTGCTGCTCAGTCGTTTGGTCGTCCCTCACTCACCCCCCTGCCGGCCTTGTTGCCCCACTCAGCCTGTTTGGTCATCCGTTTGGTTGCGATGGCCCCTGGCTCTTTATATATATAGATTTGCCTACTTTTAAAAGCTGCTGCCTGAGAGTGTGGCTTACAACTAGCCTGAATCCAGGAGGTGAGACCCTTTCCTTCAGGACACTGACCACACTCAACTACGGCTTGGACAAGCACAAAAATTTGAAAGACAATTAAGAGCTGAATGACAGGGTTGAATGACAAGGTTCATCTCCTATAAGAGGCCACTTCCCTCCAAGATGGGAGAGGTGGTTGTTTCTACTACTGTACAGAAACCAACACAGAGTCAAGCAAAATGAAGAAACAGAGAAATATATACTGCAAATGAAAGAACAAGGTAAGACTTGAGGGAAAAAACTTGATGAAATAGAAATAAATAAATGATAATGAATTCAAAGTAATGGTTATAAAGATGCTTGCTGAACTGGGGAGAAAAATGGATGAACAAAGTAAGAACTTCAACAATGAGATGGGAAACATAGGAAATACCAACAGAAGTCACAGAGCTAAAAAACTCATTGGCTGAACTAAAAAATATACTAGAGGAGTTCAAGAGCAGACTAGATGAAGCAGAAAAGATAAGCCAACTTGTCAACTTGAAGACAAAGTAGTGGAACTCACCCAATCAGAGCAGCAAAAAGAAAAAAACTTTAAAAAATGAAGAAAGTTTAAAGGAATTATGGGACATCAGATGATTAACATTTCCATCATAGCTCTCCCAGGAGGAGAGGGGAAGGGGAAGAAATCTTACGTGAAGAAATAATGGCTGAAAACTTTCTTAACCCTGAGAAGAAAATAGACACCCAGATTCAGGAAGCTCAGAGAGTTCCAAACACGAGGAACCCACACCAAGACATTTTGTAATTACAGTGTCGAAAGTTAAATCAAGAAGAGTTTTAAAAGCAGCAAGAGAACACTTCTTGTGTACAAAGATGAGAGAATCATTGATTGGCTTGTCTCCTACCAATAAGGAGACAGATAAGACTATCAACAGATTTTTCAGCAGAAACTTTGCAGGCCAGAAAGGAGTGCCACGATATATTCAAAAGGCTGAAAGAAAAAACTGCCAACCAAAAATACTCTCCCCAGCAAAACTGTCATTCAGAAATGAAGGAGACAAGCAAAAGCTAAAAGAGTTCATCATCACCAATCAGACGTTACAAGAAACATTACAGGGACTTCTTCAAGCTAAAAAGAAAGGGTGTTAGTAACAAGAACACATATGAAAGAATAACTCTCACTGGAAAAGTAAATATATAATAAAGGTATTGGACTAACCACCTCAGACTCATCACAATACGTTTTTTCTCTTAAAACACTTTTTTAAAAAACTTCTCAGTACGGCCTAGCTGGTGTGGCTCAGTGGTTGAGCAACGACCCATGAACCAGGAGGTTCATGGTCACCTTAGGATTCCTGTTTAGGGCACATGCCCGGGTGGCGGGCTCAATCCCCAATAGGGGCGTACAAGAGGCAGCTGATCAATCATCAATGATTGTAGCTCTCTCTCTTCCTCTCCCTTCCTCTCTGAAATTAATTTAAAAAAAATTTTTTAAAGAAAGAAAAAAACTTCTCATTACGCAGTTTAGGCTTCCCTCCCCTTCTCTCACTGCATGTGGGCAAGGCTGGAATTAGGCAGTCACCCATATTACTAAAATGGGCAAAGAAAACAAACCAACAGCGCAGCAGTAACGTTCACTTCTGTCCTTTAATTAACGCGTCCTCCTTTCAAGGAGGCGGCGGGCAGGGTGGCGGAGGGCGACCGGAGACCACTGCCGCTCCCCGCCCCCCCGCCCCCGCCTCCGCCCGCTGACCGAGAACAAACGGGCAGGCCGTGGGGTGAGGAGTCCGCTGCCCCGCACTCCGCCCAGGCCTCAAGGAGCGACGACACTGGGGACGGGGCGCAGAGCAGGGGGCCGGGAGGAGCGACGAAGGGGCGCTGCCCCGACGTGAGGCTCGGCGGCGGGCAGGCCCCAGACTCACGTTTGTACTCGGCCATCAGCCTCTTCAGCGCCGTCCCCGCCATCGTCGGGGAAACAGCTGTGCCGTCGGACGTCGCCGCTAACCGCTCGTATCCTCCCGCCCGAGGACGGGGTTACTTCCGGTCGCTGCCGGGGGCACAGAAGCCCTTCCGGGTCGCGGGGCGCGCGCGGGGGCGGGGCAGGCGCGGAAGTGAGAGGGGCTCGCAGAAAGGGGCGGAGTGCGGCCAGGGGCGGAGCGGGACCGTCTGGGGAGGGGGTCGAGCGTCTCTGGCCCTTGGTCCCGGGTGGCTCGGCCCTGCAGCCGCTTTGTGAGGTTCAAGCCGCTTCTCCAGCCCCCGTTCCTGTGGAGCCTGGTCTTCCCGGAGATTCCAGGGTCGGGTGCTTGGTAACCGCCTGTTCCGTCACGGCGGCCGCAGGAGAGTCCAGTGGAGGACGGGGACGAAGGATGGCGCGACGGCCGAGCGGGGGACGCAAGCTGGGCAGAGGTCATTTAGATGGGGACTTTTTAAAAATATATATATTTATTGGTTTCAGAGAGGAAGGGAGAGGGAGCGAAAGAAACATCAATGAGAATCATTGACGGCGGCCTCCCGTAGGCCCCCTAACTAGGGACGGAGCCGGCAACCCTAGCACGTGCGTCTGCCTGGAATCCAACCGGGACCCTTCAGTCCGCAGGCCCTGGCTCTACCCAGTGAGCCACACCAGCCAGGGCAGGGGGTCTTTTCAAGACACCGGGAGGAGGGGGCCAGAATGGAGGCGCTGCCGTCGGTGGTGCCACCGCCGCAGGTCCTGACGCGGCCCAACGGCAGCCAAAGGAGACGGCTCCTAAGACAGTGACGCCCCGAACGCCTTCCGACCGGGGTTGGGTTTGGAAAGCGGGTTGGCGATGGTGGTGGGTTTATTCTGCCAGCGCGGCCACCACTCAGGGTGCCCAGACTCGGCCCCACGGAGGGAGGGACCTGGGGGGCCCCGGCGGACCTGGGTTCTGAGGAGCAGGCGTGATATGTGAGGGCTTCCTGGGCGATCACAGGGGGAGGCCAAGTTCAGGATGAAATTAGTGTCTTTTATATCTTTGTCAACTAACTTTCTGAAGTATGAAAGGCCTCTCACAGCTGAACCGGCTGAAGGTAGTTTTAACCTCAATATCTTGCTTCCCCAGCTGGGAGCTGTGACACCTACTGGGGCTTTCCTGGGAGGGAGGTTCCTGGGATGAGGGCCTTTCAGTGCTGAAATGGGGCCTTGCCCGCTGGGACCCTGGCACCACTGGCAGGATAAATAGTGCCTGTCTCCTCCTGAAGCATCAATTTAACTCCAAGATCCTAGGAGTTCGATTTATGTAAATACATTTTCTTAATTTTATTGATTTTAGAGGAAAAGAGAAACATCGATTTGTTGTTCAACTTATTTATGCATTCATTGGTTGGTTTTTCATGTGCCCTGATTGGGGATCGAACCCATCACCTTGGCATAGCAGGAGAACGCTCTAACCAACTGAGTTACCCAACTAGGGCCTATAAATATTTTTAAAATATTAATACCAAGAGGTATTATTCCAAATGCACAATTTGCATAAATTTTGAGAAGATAACCTCGAGGACATGCCTTGTTCTTTCTTCAATCTACGTTCAGTGCAGTGGGTGGAAATTCAAGCAGCACTGCTCTGATGTCCCAAACTCTCAGCCTGTCTCTCCTCTCCTAGCTTGAGGGAGGAGTGCAGGGGCTCCTCTGCGGATGCAGTGCCCCCACCTCCACTCTCCGGGGCACCTAGCAAATTACTCAGTCCCTGTAATGTGCTGGAACCCATCTTCTTTGGCTGGTGTAAATGATCAGGTGCGAGAGTGGACGTGCTATATCCCAGCTCCCCTTCATCTTTCAGTTTGTACTGACCTCACCTGAAGGACTGACTAAAACAGCTAGGTCATTTTCAAACCTGGTTTTGTCACAGCACAGTCCCCTGGGAAGTTCTGTCAAATTAGCAGCAGTTCACTCAGCTGCAAAGCAAGCAAGGTTGTCAATCACACAGAAGAAAACTAGTCTGACAGTACGGCACCAAACTTGAGAGGCCAGACTGATGTCCAAATCAGCTGCCTCCAAACCCACCCTCTTTACATGCGGCATCACAAAGCCAGTTCAGCTTACCCCCCGGGAGAGCTCTGGGTACGTGAGTGTGGACTCAGAAGGTGCCAGCCCAGTGCGGGCGCTCTGCCAGGAATGCAGGGAGTGGGGGAGGCAACAGATGAATACTTACTTTTCAGCAACTAGCCTTTAAACAAAACTCTGAGTGGTCTTGCTGAATGGTCATTACAGATGTTGAATTGTGACAGCCGCAACCTCCAAATGCAATATTTAATACAAGAGACAGAATATCAAACTATATTTACTGTTTACAGTAGTAAAGGACAACAAAGAATGTACAAATTGTGAACAAACAGCAGAGCCAGCAGACACCACATCCACACCCCAACAGCAAAACACAAAGGAAAGGCAAGATTCCGGGCAAGCAAGAGATGATGGTCCAGGTCGCACTGTCCAGGTACCAGGAGGCAGAGCAGGGCCATCAGGCAGCAGGGGTTCCATACAGAAGGGCAGGAGGAGAACTGAAGGTTTAATAGGTATAGGTTCCAAAATGTTTCACAGAAATGAAATCACAGCTAATGTCAGGAAAGCGGCAGAGCACATCCGTGAGAACAACATGAAGTCATCTTTGCACAGGGCCCATCTGTAACCACACTTGAAGTAGCTCTTTGACACAAAAAAAGTCACTGCAAAATCAGCAATACTTAATCGTACTTTGTTATATAGAAACCATAATTATTCATCAGAGCAAATACTGGAAGAAATCTGAGGCCACAGTACTACTGCCAAGTGAGAAACATGGCAATTGCTTTCCTCTATTAAAAGGGGACCCCTGAAACTAATACAAAATAATATTGAATATAAACTGTAATTGAAAAATTAAAAAAAAAAGAAGGGGAAAAGCCAATTTCTGCTGCACCCTGCTTTGCCCATGCACCATCAGGGGCCCTGGGCCTGCCCCTGCCCAAGGGGAGCTAGAGGAACAGAGTGCCCAGGCCCGTGCTACTGAGGGACTCAGTTACTTTTCACCTTTAAAAAAGCATTCCAGTATTCTCCCTTCAACTTTACCATATTCTCACAAAACTTAAACTTGCAATATTTAGCATTGAAAAAACCTACAAGACAGTAAGTGGACCTACAAGAAACAGTAAGTGGAAGTTTGTCTCCCCACAATGCCCCCAAAACGGCCCACAGAAGCACCCCCACTTTGATGATGTGAGCTCTCTACAATGGAATACGCAGGGGGATTTACTCAATACCTGGGATAAGATCCCTGTCTAGACTAAAAAGGGACATTCACACAACAAGCTTCAGGGAAATGTTGTGAGAGGGGGAAAGACAAAAATGAGAGCAAAAGCAAACCCCCAAAACCTTGCAACTCATTTTCCTAAACAAACATGACACTGGCTGGCCCGGTTCAGGTAAGGATTCGTCCCTGCAGACAGTTTTGAGTTGCACCCGCAGTATGTCAGAGAGGAAAGGAATTTTTGTGGATGTCCTTGGTTCCTGCAGACTCCTTTGTGATTGGCATGGTCACGTGTTCACTATTCAACAGCAAATGCAAGGACGGTGACAAAGTGGGCCGGTCCCTCTACAGACCACACCCCAAGAGGCAGCCAGTCGCCCGTGAGCCTCCTGTTTGCTGCTGGAACACATCGATGGTATCTTCATCCTCCATCTCCAACTGGCAGGGTCGACGTGACAGGCACAGGGAGAGAGGGGAAATCTGTTAGTTTTCTCGCCATCACAGGAACAAAAACTGTTCAAATGAACACACATGTCCACTGCACTGTCTCCCTCGCACCGGCGCACAACACCCCACCACACCTTTGCTCTGTGGGTTGCTCCGGGGTCGCTAGGGCATATCAGGGAGAAGAGGCTTTGTTTAGGATTTCCAATAAGCTACTATTCTGCAACCTTCCCCTAACAAAATTCACAAAATATTCAAAACTATAAGTGACAGAAAACCTAGGTCTCATTAAAAAATGAACAAGTATCTAAAATTGTTACTGAAAATTACACAAAATCAGATCCCAATTAGGAACCCCTGCTCCCCGTCCCTTCCCTTCAAGACCAGGCCAGAGATGGGCAAAAGCTCCCCACCTGCTGCTCCTGACACCACGGGAATGGACATCTGCCCTGATCTCCGTCCATTCTCGGGACAAAAGAACTTCTGCCAAATCATAGAGACTAAACAGGGCTGGAGGCAGTAACATTTCCCAGAAACGTTCTCAAAAACAGGGAAGTAGGTCCGGGTGAGCGGGCCCTGTGCTGCTGTGGACACTACCTGAACGGGAGCCAGAGTGACAGGTCGGAGAGCATTCCAGCCCCCACCCCAGTGCAAGCCCTCAGAAACCCTCACAAAGCCAGCCACCGTCTCAGCAGCAGAGTTCCTCAACCGAGCAGAAATACGTAGCTCTTTTACATGTGCCAGCCCAGTGGATTCTGCCTCTGTGAAGGGCAAGACTGAGTGAGACCCCAATAGTAGGTGACTCTGGATCACAGGTCATCCAGCTGATGAACGACAAGAACCAGACTGAACCTCGGCCTCCAACTCCATCCGAAACTTTTCCCTGTGGGGCCATGCAATGCACCATGCTGGGCCGACACTGAGACTGTTGGGGGGGGGGGGGAGGGGGTGGTCACCGGCTTAGCAAAAGCTAACTCCTGACCAATAATGAAGGGGTACACACTACTTTCCATCCATACCCCTATGCACAAATGCTTACAGGGCACAAGAAGCAAGCCAGTGAGTGAGCCACAAATCGACTAACACTACAAATTCCATGTCCAGACCACCAGGGGGGGTGAGTGCATCTGCCCATCTTGCCTGGACCCCTCTGCTAAGCCCCCAGCCCGCCCGCTGCACCTCCCAGCCTGGAGGAGGATGTCCAACAAAGGGCATCATTCTCATCTGAAACACTGAACTGCCCAATTAATATGTTAAATACTCTAATAACTAAGAACATTAAGAAAAAGTAACAGTAGCTCCCCAACAAGAATATTTCAAACAACAATTAGTCAAATGCAGGTCGAAGTGGCCTCAAGGTGGCCTCAAGATGTCGAAGCTGCTTTCATACCTGGGCCGGGGTGTCTGCTTCATTAATTGGCTGCCCATCAAACCTGAATCTAATCTGTCTCATTGACAAGCCCTGAAAAGAAAAGGCAAATATAATTAAATATTTCTAGGTTATGCATTAATTCAAAATCATCAAATATTTACACCAAAATACCAAGATTCTGACCAGAGGATATTTTTCCATTGATTTTTAGAGAGAATGGAAGGGAGAGGGAGAGACAGAGAGAAACATCCATGTGAGAGAGACACATTGATTGGTTGCCTCCTGCACGCACACTGACCAGGTCCGTGCCCTTGACCGAATGGCACCTTGCACCTTGAACCCGTGGGCTGACACTCTATCCACTGAGCCAAATCGGCTAAGGCCAAAAACCGTTTTTTCATTTAATGAGTCCTCAGGTTGTAAAGGCCCCATACATGCTGCAGAAGCAAACACAGTTCTTTGCTGAGTAGCACACTTTAATTAAACCAGGATTCAGTGAATTTCAAGAATAAAGTTGCAAGGCACTTGAGTTCCCCTTAAAAAAAAATGTCACAAACTTGAAGAATATACTTTAGAATTAATATACCTACAAAAACTGGATATGTTAGAATAATTTTTTAAAAGTAATATAAAATATCTTTGCTTAAAATGCTTTAAAACTATCAGAAATATGTCAAGGAATAAGAGTTTATCAAAAATTAGCAAGAAATCATTTCTTGAAAAGCACATAAAATGTTTAGAAATTAAAATTAGAAATTCAATGACAGCTGAAACAGCAGATCCGACACAGCTGAAAAGAGACTTTGTGACGCGAATAACAGGGCTAAAGGAATAACTAGAATGCAAGTCAATAGATACAGACATAAAAAATACGAAGTAGCCGAACCGGTTTGGCTCAGTGGATAGAGCGTCAGCCTGCGGACTCAAGGGTCCCAGGTTCGATTCCGGTCAAGGGCATGTACCTGGGTTGTGGGCACATCCCTACTGGGGGCTGTGCAGGAGGCAGCTGATCGATCTCTCTCATCGATCTTTCTAACTCTCTATCCCTCTCCCTTCTTCTCTGTAAAAATTCAATAAAATATATTTAAAAAAAAAATACGAAGTAGAACATGGACTGAGGATTCTGAATGTGCAGATGAATGATCCAGTGGATTATAAACCTACTGGCAGGCCTACAATGCATTTAATGTGAGGCCAACACCAGCACCTTCAGAAACTACTGTTCTAGCGACTTATAGCTACAGGCACCTGCCACTACTGGTCCCTCTCAATTCCCTCCAGAAGCCAACAGGATTTCTAAACTGCTGGCACCACCACCCAGGTGACAGAGGCATGTGACAAGAAGACTGCACGAAACTGGAAGCAGTCCGATGGCTGTGGCCTTGAGAAAGGCAGGAGGAAAGGCATTTTCCAGCCAAAAAGGAGCGCGTGCAGACTCTGCATCCGGAGGGAATGGTAAACATGGTCAGGGTGCAACGACATTGCCCTTTTAAAAGCAGCTCTGATTTTGCTTAAACAGGAGAGATGGGATTAAAACATGCATCTCGGCTCCTCCTGAAACCCTGCTGAAAAGACATAAAAAAATAAAAAAGATGCCCTGGCCAGTGTGGTTCAGTTAGTTAAGCGTCGTCCCGTGCACCAAAAGGTTGCCAATTACATTGCCAGTCAGGGCACATACCCAGGTTTCGGGTTCAATCCTCAGTTGGAGTACATGCCGGAGGCAACCGATCTGTCTCTCTCTCGCATCAATGTTTCTCTCTCTCCCCCCGCCTTCCTCTCTCTCTAAAAAAATCAATAAAGAAATTAAAAAGGCATAGTCAGCAGGACAAAGAACAGAAGAGGGGACAAGCCAGCAGAAAAAAGGTGCTACTGATGGGCTGCAAGTTCCAAAGCCCGGATGCTGGACCCCAAGGTCTGGGTGGGAGTGGGGGCAACAAGATGCAGCCCTGAGAGGGGAGGGGCAGGCACAGCCTGTCTGGGAGGCAGAGGTGCAGCAGGCAGCTGATTTTGGATGATGCCTAGAAGTTCCTATCAGACCCCAAGTCAGGGCCGCCAACTCCAAGAGGCCAGGAGCTGTGCCGTCCACAGGCAGAGGGAGCTCCGGGCTGGAGTGAAACAGTGAGGAGCAGCACGCACACCCAGAACTCCTTGGGGAAGAGGACAGGGCACCTATCACACCACAGCAGTGAGGTCCCTCACCCACTGAGTGAGGGGCCCAGGTGGAGGGGATAGGCCCAGGACCAAAGGTGAGTCCATGGAGCATGATGAGAGCAAAACAGACGCAGGGATGAAGCACAAATGCATTTGAGCTGTAAGTTCATGACACTAACACAAACAATCACAACTGAAAAGGCTCAATTTAACTGGTCACTGTGGGAGGATGCAAGTGAGTCAGCTCATTACTTTGAAAACTGGTAAATAAAGGGAAAGAATCAAGCATTTTGTGGAAACCAAACTGTGATGAGGGATGTCTCCACAGCGTTTTCCAGCTACCGTGTGAAGGAGCCATGGAACTGCACTCCATTTCCCTGTTCTGCAATCTCCCAGGAAGGAAGCCGCTTAAACACTGATCCAAGAGCAGACATGTGGTCACACTCCACCCCCAGAGGAAGAGGCAGCATTGTGCCTGGCCTGCTGAAGCAAGAGCTGATGGGCACAACCTGGAGATGAAGAGGGCTGAAGAGAGGCCACCAAGGAGTGCACACACTTGTGCAGACACACATACATGTACACACACAAATATGCATGCACATGAAGAGAGGCCACCAAGGAGTGCACACACTTGTGCAGACACACATACATGCACACACACAAATATGCACACCAATGCACACGTGCACACCAATGCACACATGTGCAGACACACATGCACACTTCCAGGACAGTGGAGCCCTGAACAGCCTGGACATGGGGTGACAGCAGAGCCCACCCAGCCCACAGGCACACCTGCCGCTCGCAGTAGGCCTTCATCAGCTTGCTCAGTGGGGTGTGTCTCTTAATCTTGAACTGGACCACGGAGCCATCTTGCCCGGCCACTTTCAGGTTGATGTGGTCATTCTCTGTCTTCACTCCCTCCTGCAAGAGACATGACACTGGGCCTCAACGCCGTGTCCCAAAATAACCACTCTTTTAAAGGGCACATCTTTAGGTAATTGCTGGAGGTTTTTTTTTTAAGTCATTAAAAAGCAACCTAATTCTGAAAACTCTCCAGCAATCCAGTCACTCATGTGATGGTTTTATTTTTACACAGAAATTATTTTTAACTTCTACTTGTTAAGCATCCATGTGTAAGGAATGCAATGCAAATCTACAGAGTTCATAGATTGGTAATTCAAAGAAAAAAATCTGTTCAATAAATCTAGAGAAAACTAAAGTCCACGTCTGCCACAGATGACTCTGTGAAGCCAGAGGGACAGCATGGTATGCCCGTCCTCCTGGGGGAGCGGACTGTGCAGCAGCACCTTCCACCTTCTAGCTGCCACCGCCGTGTAGTTCAATCAGCCCCATCTGGTCAGGGACACTCACAGTACTTTATCTTACGGAATTCCTGGCTCACTCACAGCTCCTGAGCAACCACATATGGAATGGATGCCACAAGTCTGTGTCCTGCAGCAGCAGCTCAGTCTGAGAAGCATTTCCTAAGAACCAGAGTGATGTGCCCACAGGGTGCAGCGCCAGTGAGGGTCCTGCAGTCACAGAGCCACCTCATTTATCTGGCACTAACTGTTTGGGAATAAAGAGTTTATCTTTGAACAAAATGATGAAACTGACCCGAGTCAATCTGAAAATAAAGATTTGATGGAACGCAAAGGGATTCTGTACTTTCTCCAGCTGACACACATGCTCCCTTGTTGGTGCATCCCCAGAAGAGCTGACCACCACAGGGCTCCTGGCCAGGGCTGCTGGCTTTGTGGAGGAGTCATATCGCTCTCCTTCCCTCCCAGCTGGGAGGGCTGGGGCCCTGGCTCCCCCTCGCCATGTCACCAGCTGTCCTAACAGAAGGGACTGGGAGGCAGGCAGTCACATCCCACACTCTGGTTCAAAACTCTGAGTGGGGTGCCGCTCTTTCTAGGGAGCTCAGGATGGCCCGAGAAGTGGCCCTAGGAGGCACAACCCCAGCAAGGAGCCTGAAGGTCATCCTGGGGTGGAGCTTACCCCACCGCAGCCCTGGGCGGCAACTTGGCCAGGCACCACCCAAGCCCCCCTCTCTGCAATGTGGACTCGTGTAGGCCAACCCGGTGACACAAGTGGGGGGTGCTCAGGAACCCAGGCCAGGATGGACTGAGGGTCCCTCTAGCACACCTTTATTCCCCAGATATTAAGGATACATTTGCTTCTTTGTTCAAATTAAGGTTTTGTTTTGGAGTAATTATGCATTTATAGAGAAATTGCAAAACGGACATGGAGAGAACTCCGGCACACCTCTCACCTGTCTCCCCAATGTTAGCATCTCACACCCAAGGTACAAGTCACACTAAACCAGTGCTGACACACCACTAGCAATGAAACTCCAAGCTTTGTTGCTATTTCACCAGTTTTCCCATGAATGTCCTTTTTGTGTTCCAGGATCCAATCCAGGGTACCACATTGTGCTGAGAGATATTTTCCCAACGTTTTATTGTGTTAAAAAACACATAACATAAAATTTACCATTCTAACCATTTTCAGTGGTATTAAACACATTCATAATGTTGTGCGGCCATCATCCATCTTCAGAACTCTTCATTTTGTAAAACTGAAACTCTGTCCCCACAAAACACTAACTCCCCTCCCCAGCCCCTGGCACCTACCCTCTACTTCTGTCTGAATCTGATGACTCCAGATCCCTCATTCAAGTAGAATCATACAGTGTTGCCTTTTTGTGACTAGCTTATTTAACTTAGCATAATGTCTTCAACGTTCACCCATGTCACAGCATATGTCAGAATTTCTTTCCTTTATAAGGCTGAATAACATCCCATTGTATGGATGGACCACATTTTGTATGTCTACCCATCCATCAATGATGCTTGGGTTGCTTCCACATTTTAACTATAGTGAATAATGCTGTAGTGAACATGAGTGTACAAATATCTCTTGAGACCCTGCTTTAAATTATTTTCAGTATGTACCCAGAAGGGGAATTGTAGTTCTATATTAATTTTTTGAGGAACCTCCACACTGTTTTCCCAACTGCTGCACCATTTTACATTCCAACCAAAAGTGCATGAGGATTCCAACTGCTCCATGTCCTCACCAACACCTGTGGCTTTCTATTTTGTTTTTCATAGTAACCATCCCAATGGTTGTGAAGTCTTGATGACTTGCAATTCCCCAATGATTGGTGATGTTAAGCGTCTTTTCATGTCCTTATTGACCATTTGTTTGTTTTTTTACGTTTTATTTACTGATTTTAGAAAAAGAGAGGGAGGGAGAGGGAGAAAGAGAGAAAAACATTAATTTGTTCTTCTACTTATTTATGCATTCACTGGTTAATTCTTACATGTGCCCTCACCAGAGGTGGAACCCACAACCTTGGCCTATCAGGATGACACTCCCATCAACTGAGCTACCAGCCAGGCCCTTATTGATCATCTGTCTATCTTCTTTTGAGAAATGTCTATTCAAGTCCTTTGCCCATTTTGGAATGGGTTTATTTTTTCAGTTGTTGAGTTTTAGAAGTTCACTATATATTCCAAATACTAATCCCTTATTACATATATGATTTGCACATATCGTCTCCCCTTCTCAGGTTGCCTTTTTACTGTCGATAGTATCCTCTGATGCACAAAATTTCTGTAATTTTCAAAGTCCGAGTTTGTCTGTTTTTACTCTTGTTGCCTGTGCCTATGGCATCATATCCAAGAAATCACTGCCATACTCAATGCTGTCAAGCTTTTGTCCTGTTTTCTCCTAAGAGTTTTATGGTGTAGGGCTTACATTTAGGTCCTTGACCCATTTTAATTTTTTATGTGGTGTTACAAAGGGTCCAACTTAATTCTTCTGCATGTGGACAGAGGAAATATTTATTTTTATAATGAAAAAACATGATTTGTTCAAACAAACAGATGCAAGAACCAAAACACAAAACAAACAGAAACACAGAATCACAGGGCAGCAGCTGCAGACTAGGCAAAGGCAGGCAGCAGGACTGGGCAGGAGGCCTCACCAGGAGCAATGGGGGCACCAGCTCCCTCAGGGAGCGCGTGCAGCCAGGAAAAGCCCCAGGTACCTCTCTCCTCCCAAGGAGGGTCACCAAGAGCAATGGCCTGTACCAGAGGCCGGTGAACTCCTAATAAACAAGGAGTAGAAGAAACACAAAACTAGAAACAACGACCACGATTTACTGCAGTCAGCTCCTGACTCAGCTAGGCAGGGAGCGAGAAGCTGCTTTCCCAGCTGACCCACAAGGTCTTCCTTTCGCCAGCCTGACGGCCTGGGAATGTGCCTGCCCCTCCTCGCCAAGTCCAGAGCAGAGGGCCCCTCAGCAGGCACAAAGGGCACTGCACACTGTTTAGTCACGTTGGACACAGTTCAAACAAGTTTATTCAACTGAAAGGACCATGGAAGTTGACCATGTGGGAGAGTGAAGTTTAAACCCACTGGAGAAATGAGTATAGTGTGTATCTCATTGTATGTAAACTTCAGTAAGAGGAAGCCACCCAGAAAACAAAGAAAGGCATTTATCTTTGGCCAAATGACCAGGCTGAGAGGAGTGGTATAAAAGGCTGAGTTGGAACCAAAATGTACAAAGCAAAGGCGGCTCCAAGTGCAGTGCAATCTTGACTCAAGGCAGGGCAGGGAGGGGGCTGGCTTCCACCCTCAGCCAGTGGGCACACGCCTCGTTTACTTAAACACTTAAACGAGGCATGCCTGCGAGTGTGACATGCTTGAGGGCTGCAAGCTCTAGTACCAGGCTGGTATCAGAGGAAGCCTGTGTGCAAAGCATTCAACTCAACAGCAGATCTTCCTCTTGGTCAATAAACAAACTCTGACAGTGCAGACCAAAAGCTTTGGAAACATCCTTCCTATCCTATATAATAAAAGAGTAACACGCCAATTGACCGAACTGCGGAACGACTGGTAGCTATGACACGCACTGACCACCAGGGGGCAGATGCTCAACACAGGAGCGGCCACCTGGTGGTCACTGGCTCCCACAGGGGAAGTGCTGCTCAGCCACAAGCCAGGCTGCCAACTGGCTAGCGCAGTGGCGGTGGCAGGAGCCTCTCCCACCTCCATGGCAGCGCTATGGATATCCAACTGCTGGACATCCTTAAGCCATCAGCTGGACATCCCCCAAGGGTTGCCGGGCTGCGAAAGGGCACAGGCTGGGCTGAGGGACCCTCCCCTCCCAGTGCACAAATGCTGTACACCCGGCCTCTAGTGTTTTTAATAAGAGTAATTAGTTAAAAATACAAAAAAAAAATAATAGAAAAATAAATAAATAAATAAATAAGAGTAGTTAGTACAACAGCTGTGGACCTCCCCACAGACTGACAGCCAAAACCCTAGAGCAGCTGTTCTCAACCTGTGGGTTGCGACCCCTTTCACGGCCGAACGACCATCCTGCATATCAGATATTTACATGACGATTCATAACAGTAGCAACATTACAGTTATGAAGTAGCAACAAAAATAATCTTATGGTTGGGTCACAACATGAGGAACTGTATTTAAAGGGCCGGAGGTTGAGAACCACTGCCCTAGAGCGTCAATTTTCAACCAGTGCGCCACAAGAATTTTTAAAACATGCAATACCTGACTATTTAGTCAGGGGCACTGACCTCTTTTCCCTTAGATTGTCAAATAAAATGACAACAGCAAACCCAATAGCCATCTGGTGTGAATGAATCACAATTATACCTATTTTTTGGTCATTTTGGCAAAAAATTATTTTTTGGTGTGCCGCAGAATTTTAGTAGTAAGTTTATGTGTACTATGAGATTTAAAAAAGGCTGAAAATCACTGTGCTAGGCCAGGGTTGGGTAGCTCAGTTGGTTGGCAAGTCGTCAGCATAGCCAAGGTTGCAAGTTAGGGTACACACCAATGAATGCGTAAATACATGGAACAACAAATCGATGTTTCTCTCTCTCTCCCTAAAAGCAATAAATAAATAAATAAAATTTTAAAGAAGCCCTGGGGGGTGGGGGGAGTCCTAAAAAGAAAAAATAAGTAGAAAATTTAAAAAAGAAGCCCTGGCCGGAGGTTAGAGCATCAGCCTCCCTACTGAAGGGTCCTGGATCGACTTCCAGTCGAGGGTTGAAAGGTTCCATCAGGCCTGGTTGGGGCGTGTGCGGGAGGCAACCAATCCATGTGTGTCTCTCACATCGATGTTTCTTTCTCTCCCTCCTTCCCTCCCTTTCCCTCTAAAAATCAATGGAAAAACTATCTTCTGTTGAGGATTAACAACAAAACAAAACAAAAAATCGCTGTCCTAGAGAAGTGCACACCAGGGGGCGCCATAGGGACCGGTGGGTACAGCGATAGAGGCCGGGCGGGCGCACCCTGGGGGGCAGCACAGGACAGTGGGCGCACAGCGCCGGGCGGGCGGCGGAACGGCAGGCGGAGGGCTGCATGGTAAAGGTGGCAGCGCGCACAGACCAGGCTACACACCGCCCGGAGGATCGAAGACGTGCATCCCACAGCGAGGGGCGTAGTGGGGGTCGGCCCCCGCGATGGAGAAGGTCTTGGGGGGGGCGGTCCCCGAGAGGGGTCATGGCGGGAACGGGAGAGTGTGTCCGAA